AAACTGTCTTTGAGGAGAAGCTGGCAATTTTCTGGTGTCTTATTTGCCTTTTTTCTAGTTTTTTTTTTTTTTTTTTTTTTGAGCTGGGAGAATAGCCTGTGGTACTAAGGAACTTCCCCAGGCGTTATGGAATTTTCCTTGTCTGCCAGGCCAGAGTTCCTGCTCTGTGTCCAGAAGGATGTTTTTCTATTGGTCTGTTCCATAACAGGATCCACAGCTGAGTTATACTTGGCAGAATCAAATGCAGATGTGAGGGCTGTGTGGTATCACCTTTTTAGCTTTATCTCTGGGCAGCTCAAAGGACTGAGGCTGGTTGCCCTCACCCATCGCTATTTGACATAACCTCCTGATTCTATTATGGGCACAGCATTAACCTCCACGGTAAAACAATCTGCAGACAACCTTTGGGAATAAAATGAGTTAATTACTTCGGGATCATGAGTACTAAAACTTTCAGGCAGTTTCCCAAAAGAGTTGGTACATTTTATTTAAGAAAAGAGAAAAAAAGCCTAACCATCCCCAGAGGGCAGTTTATAAATAATCTTTGTAAAAATAACAAACATGAAATAGATTTCATGAAACCCCATCATAGTAGGATCTAGAAAGTCCCAGTGTCTAAATTGCCACTCCTGAATAGTTGTGTTTTTGTACATATCGTACCTCCTTTCGCTGAATTGAATAAATATAGAATCCATTTACTACAGTGAGAGCAAGCCTTCTCCTTCAGGATTTAAACCCTAAGTCCCTAAAGACAACTGGAGGGGGTTTTATCTGCATGCAGGAGGACAGGCCTTGTGTTTCAGTATGTATTTCCCTCCAATTTCAACCTAGCTTGATTTCAGTTAAAGGAAGGTTCCCTACTGTATTTCCATATCGTCCTCTACCTGTAGCAAAAGTGAAAGTAATGCTAAAGATTCTTTTAAAGATCTTAGAAAAAGGGATTGGTAAAGGTCACTAAGAAAGTTAGCAGCCATTTCTACAAGCTGCAAAGGGGATGTTAACTATGTTGTGAGAAAAGTATAGTCAAGAAGAGCTGGTTTGTGAAGCACTAGCATTAAAGACCTGCACACCAGACATGGCAACCCCCTACCTCAGATATTATAGCCCAGAAGTAGTGAAGTTTGTTGTGCAGTGTTTTCAATCTCAGTAGAAAGTGTATGCATTTTATATTTCAGGTTATTGTAGAAAATCACCCCAATTCTCTTTTCGTGATTACCAAACGTTTTTGAAACATATATACATATTTAATTAGTCATGAACCTCAAACACTTTTGCCTGATGTGAACATTTCTCCAATTTATTAAGGGGAAAACCTGATTTGCTTTGCACGCGTTCGTTTTCCAGCGAGTTTCTTCCAGAAACACGTGTTACTCCATGAAATAGGTGCCAGAACTTTATTTGGTTAAATATTATATCCCATGGAATCAAATTATCAGTCTATTGATACCTCATAGTGTTATATAAAGTGAGAAATCTAACTTATTTTTGTCACATAACTCAGAAGTTTTTTCCCCTTTGTTCTGTTTTCTGTCTTGTCTAGCTTTTCTTTCACTTTATTTTTTCCCAATTCTTTAACATTTATTTGTTAAAATACGAAGTATATTCTGTCTGTATTCATCCACCATGGATGCTTGTTTAAAATGTTTTTTTCACTGTGTCCTCTGTCTTTACTTATATCGTTTTTCACTTTCACTTTACTATGTACGGGACATGGTTTCCTACCTACTCATGTGCCATTAAAGATGCAGTATTAACCAATTGGCTTTTATAAAGTGTCAATATTTGCGTTTATTTCGAAAACCTTAAGGTGGCTTTGCAAATAAGTACTAAAGTTGTACTAGCCCATAAAAATCTGCTCTACTCAACTGGCATAGATGGCTAAATGTTTGGTGTGCTCACCAGGTAATTTGCTCATAACTAATAGTTCTTTGTAAAGAGCTTTCTTTTCTTCGACATTACTGAAGATTATTGCAGAATGCTGTTATGCCCAGATTCAGACTTGTTGTGTAGGCAGCAGTGTGGTGCAGAGTTGCCCATCTGTAGTCCATTTTCTTCTGCCTTAGGGCTGAGAATGATTCACTCACTGTCCCCTGCCTCAATTTCCCTGTTTTTGTAAACCTGTCCTCTCCCTCCTGTTTTTGCTGTTGTCAGTAAAAACAGATGATTGCTGCTGTTGAATGCAGCTGCTGTATATACCTGGAAACCACTGCATCTCTACTGGCCTGTTCCTATGTAATCTTTGCATAATGTTATCCTTCTCTTTCTTCCATTTCCCTATCACCAACCCCTATAGAGTCGGGATATAAGCCCAGAAGAGATAGATTTAAAGAATGAACCTTGGTATAAATTCTTTTCGGAATTGGAGTTTGGGAAACCGGTAAGTTTAATAGCTTCAGTGGTTATACACCTTTTAAACTAATGCTGTGGATGCATTGTTGCTGCTAAAGAATCAGATGTTTGTAAGGAATTCAGAAAGCAGGGAGCAGTCATGTTAGTTGTCCGTAGTGGGATTGTCTCTTCTCACTACTACCTCTGAGCTTTCCTTTGCCTTACTTCACTGAGAAAGGATAGTGAGCTCTGGAAGTATATCTTGCTGGAATATCCCAGAGAAACACAAATAATAATCATTGCTTGTCTTAGACCTCCCCCGACTAACAACAAGTATCACATGCCTTGTGGATGGCATTATTTCAGTCATTGGTTCACTTCCTTGACCAAAGTCTTTATGGCCTGTGAAAGACAAGCTGAAAATGCATTACACACTGAGAAGACCAGCATTGTCTCTGCTTTAAATAGCATTTGTAAAGGCACATATGTAAATGAAGTCCCAGAACAGGCCAACAAGGACCTCTTTATGCAGATGTGACCCACAAATGCAACCCCATTATAGGTGACTTTTAGGGGATGATTTCTATTTCCCAAAGTTTGAAATGGGAGTAAGGAATTTGAGCATATTTAGTATTCAGCCTACTCTTGCCCCATGATATCTCTGAATCGGCTCTGGTACAAATTGACTTTTGGCACTTAAAGGAGGATTTTCTTAGCCTTGCACCCAATGGAATATAAAATAGAAGGGAGAATTGAGCTCATCCTTCCTCTAGAGATAACTGGAAACTGACTTTAAAACTCTAGTTACTTTAAAGTCTTAATTATTATAGCTGCAAAAAGAATTTACAGGTAGAGGAGTTAAGTGTATAAACACATTTTATTCAATGATTGTATGAGACTTTAAGCATTGGATCCAGCTTTTGAGTTTCTATGGTCTGGATGATAGTTTTATTTGCAGACAGGAATGAATTTTATAGTTCAGTAAAATGTCTTAAGATTTTTTATTAAAACAAAGACAAAGAGAAATTAAGGTGGTGCTTAGGAATTGCTCTTTGATTTGGCGGTGCTGAGCTTTGAAAGTTCAGGCATCTTCTGAGTTAAGAGCACCAGACTTGCAAACAGCCTGCTTGTTCCTCTCTTCTGGTCCCTCCTAGACACTGTCTCCCGATAGCAGCTGAGCTGTCCTGGATGAACAGCGCCACCTAGTGACCAGTGGAGAGGGACGCATCTGACCCAAAGTCTCCACCCTCCTTCTCCCCTTCCCAAAGCATTGGTGCACACCTCATTTCTTCTCCTTCCTCTCCTTTTTTTCCCCCCTCTGCTGTTCACCATTCAGACATCAGTTAAGTCTACCTCAGGAAATCTTTTCCACGTGCAGTATTTAACAGTCTCCTAACCCTTTCTCTTTTCTTCTTTTTCTTAAAACCTGGTCAATTATGTCACCAAGAAAAGCTTTTGCTGTGTGTAGTTGTCTCCCCACCCCCAAAACAGACCATGATTGGTATATGAAACAATAATGCCACACTTTAATCAAGGAAAGCAAAAGCTATTAAATTACATTTCATAGAGTCCATGCCATTGCTTTTTGAAGTCTGTTTCAGAATCCACAAATTTCTGCCTATCTCATCTGCCAAACAGCTAAATCAGGTTTGTCTAAAATGTTAGCTTTCAGGAAACATGGTGGAACTTTTTTCCTAATTAGTTGTGAATGTTTTACTAAATCTATCATTACAAATAATTTTTGAGGATAATATATAGTATTTTGATGCCAGCATACATTAAATAGTCTCCATGCATAGCTTGATAAATTAACAGTATTGCTGCCAAAAACTTCACTCCAGGTACCACACATCTAACTTCAAACAAATGTTGAGAACACAGTCCAGTTGTATACTGGGGCCTTCCTCTAGCTTGTATCCCTACCCCATTGCTCTAACTGCCTCTTAATTATTTAAAGACTCAGAGATGCTTTTTCAAAATAGCATTTTCTCTGAAGCCACATGCATTCTTTGCACAGGCCTCAGAGTTCTTCTAATGAGACTGTTCCTTTTTGTGTAGGTCTTATTTTAAAAGGTAATACTTGTGAAGACTTGCCAAATTAACTAAATCAATGCCCATATCCTGAGGAATAGCCCTGAAATGAACAGCTCCTTATGGTCTGAGGCATCCTAATGGTGGGCTTATGACCTAGTTGAACCAACAGGGTTTGGGAGGAAGGTGTGGTAAGGAAAAATTTTTTCTTCACTTCCTACTCAAACCACTCTGCCACAAAAGAATAAGAGACATAAATAAATAAAGTGGCACAAACCATGGAAGTTGTTTTGGAAAGTTTTTCAGCCATTCAGAAGCAGAATCAAAACTACCAGATCATGGGAATTAGCATTTCTACTTTTTTTTTTTTTGTCACACCAACTGGGAACCACTTTCCCTGAGTAAAGCCTGTCAGAACTTTGACACTAGACATTTACCCTGAACTCCTTGCTTCCTCCACCCCTTCGCTTAAACCACCCAAAACAAACGGAAATTTCAGCAGGATTCTCACTAAAAAGATACCTTTTTAGCTCCAACAAGTTGTTAGAATAGCAAATAGTTCAAGACTCCAGGGACCATTTTTGGATGGATTATTTAAAACCAGTTTAATTTGTAAACACTGTCCTGTTTATTGCAGTAAAGAAAGAAATGATCATAAGTCATTAGACTTTAAAAAGTCTGCTTCTGCAGATGAACAGTCCAAGTGTATCAAGTGCTTAAAGATGAATGGTAATTGCTAATATCACTTACTTGACGAAATGCAGAATATACACGTGCAGAGATGACATTACTGACCTGTTGCTGTCAGTGGTGAACACACCTTGGAATCAGATTACTTCTCATTTGCAGATGTATTACAAAGAGCCTGGGAATCAGCTTTTTCTTCTAAGTTGTTTTCCTCTAATTTCTATAGAAATTGATGTTATTTCTATATGTAAGAGCAAGTCAAAATTTCATAATGTGAACCAGTTTGAATGCTTCCATAGAGTTGGCTATAATGAAATTTGCACAAAAGTTTAGGAGCTGTTAGTGATCTCCTATTTCTTATCCCCCTAGAGGTCATTATGTAAGAAAACTCAAGTCTAAATAGGCAGAAAAGTGGAAGAGAGGATCCAGAGTTAAAAGTCACCTGTAACCTCTGAATGTTCCACCCTCTAAACTTACAACAATCTTTTGGCAAATTTCTGTCTTAGGAATGCAGCTCTAAATCTGACTTGAAGAGTTAAAAGACAAAACAAAAATAACCTTATAGTCCCCTCTTTAAATTCTGGGTTTAAACTCTGTTCTCTAAGAGGGGATGAAAAGTATGTCTCCACCACTATCAAGGTCTAGTTAAATTGTAAAAGGAGATTTTAAAACTACTGGTATGAAATTGCCTAGTGCACTATTTAACGCCCATTTTATACTTGGATTTCGTTGCTACAAACCATGGAAAGTACATTTGGTTCAGTCCATTGATCAATCCAGTGATCATAGATTCACATACGTGTTAATACACAATGAATTTTACAGCAGAAGACTGCCTCAAAAATGTAGAATCTTCAGTGTCAATCTTAGTTTGAAAAGAACAATGAGGAATTTAAAAGTTTCTATTTTTGTTCAAATGTGTGTTAATGCTTTTCTTTCCCCCTTCTTTTCTTTTTTTAAGTTTTCAATATTTAGAATCCAGTGATGATTTGCTCTTGAAACGTAGACATAGAAACAGACTTCCTAGGTCATGGTCCCAGCTCCCAAGTCCTCAGGCTTCTGCTCCAGCAGGCAGCCTTGTGTCTGTAGGCAGCACCCACTCCCCTTACTTTTGAGTTCACCTTTCTGTGTTGATACAGTTCTCCTAGTGTGCCCCTCCTTGTTTGAGCCAGTCTCCATGTTTGTCTTTATGTCTTTATGCTCATTTCTTCATTTCCTCCTCTGCTTCCCGTCAGCCTCCCAAAAAGATATGGGATTATACTCCTGGAGACTGCTCTATCCTTCCTAGAGAGGATAGAAAGGTAATTCCGCTGTGCCTCCTCCGTTGGACTGTGTGTGCTCTCTAGCCTTGGTTAGTGTGAGTGTGTTGTGGGTTTGTTTTTTGGTTTTTGTTTTTGTTTTTTTCTTAAATCACTTTTTTAAAAACTTGATGCTTTTTTTTTTTTTTTTTTTTTTGGTTTGGTAATAAAACTATTTAACAAATTCTCTAAGACATATACTAATGTTTAGAGGTTTTTAAAGCAATTATGTGTTCTTCTGACCAATAGTATTTGTCACCATCACCACACTCTGAAAAAAGAGAAAATAGGCATTTCCTTAAAGGTAGGTTTTTATAGTTCTCTTTGGCAAGTAGAATGGCTTTTGAAGCTCTGATGACTTCAGGATTTCTGTTTTATATGCCTAATGTTATATTCTCTGTTTTCATGTCTTCAACTAATTTCCAGTGAGCTCTCGTGTTTTAGTCATGCTATCTTGGCCATATGAAAGTATAACACTAAGAAAAAAATTCATTTTTTCTAACTTAACCTTCCATTCTTTCTCCCTTTCGTCTAAACTAAAACCTTCTTTCCTATCTTTTCTTTCTTGAACCAGACTAATCTAGACAAAGATCTCAGCCTCTGCCAGACAGAGTTAGAGGCAGATTTAGAAAAAATGGAGACGCTTAATAAAGCACCCAGTGCAAACGTGCCACAGGTATTTCCTAGTTTTTCTCATGCCATCAGTTCCTTTTCAAGCTGTGCTTTGTTTTCTTCTTTGTTCTATGGTTGTTGACGTAGTTGAGGTGACGGACAGTGATGCTGGCTATTTTAGGCTGCATGGCTTTCTGACTCCTGTTTTAGACTCCTTCCCCCACCCCTACCCAGTTCATTTTTGCTTGGTTTTCTTTTGAGCTTGGCATCTTCCTTAAAGGGGATTCTTCAAATATATGCAGAGAGGCTGCTAAACTACTCTCCCACCTTACTCTCTTCCTCTGCTTTCCAGGGGCGACCTTTTAAGTTCCCTTCCTTTGCCTCTCTCTGCCTTCTCTGAATTTTCAGGGAGCCATTTTTGGCAGTTTCCTTGTCTTTTTTGCAGCCCTGGGAGATACCAACCTCAGAGATCAGTTTCAAAAACTCAGCAGCAGTGCTTTGGGTACCCTTTCTGTGCATGGCGCTGTCAGAGTAGTAGTGTTTGTTATTTTAAAGGTCAGAAAGTTGTCAATGAAAAATGCACTCAGAGGTCAGATGGCCTGGACACACAAAAAGAGTGTTTGAAACTGAGCCTGCATTGATATTTTAAAGGGAGCTATGTCAAAATGCGGTTTATTAAAGGGTATATGAGACAGAGTAAGAGAGAGAGAGAAAGACACCGTGGCAAGTAGGTTTCCAAACAGGAAAAAACCAAATGTTCATAGAATTGCCTGGAGGGCTCCCTGACAAAACAAAAGAGACTCTTAAAAGGAAAAGATATCTTTAGAGAAGATACAAAAGGAGGTGGCTTCGCGTGCAATGCCAGCAATTTGGGAGGCCAAGGCAAGTGGATCACTTGAGGTCAGGAGTTCGAGACCAGCCTGGCCAACATGATGAAACCCTGTCTCTACTAAAAATACAAAAATTAGCCAGGCATGGTGGCGGGTCCCTGTATTCCCAGCTATTTGGGAGGCTGAGGCAGGAGAATTGCTTGAATTCGGGAGGCAGAGGTTGCAGTGAGCTAAGATCACATCTCTGCACTCCAGCCTGGGTGACAGAGCAAGACTCCGTCTCAAAAAAAAAAAAGATACAGAAGGAATATGGAGCTGAGGAGGCCAGGAAGGTCCACAAACCATGACAGGAAAAGTGGAAACTGCTGATGGACCCATACCACACTTAAGCAGAACGGAGACAAGGGGAGTCAGATCTCCAGCCCCAGTGACTTGGGCACAAAAGAAGTCATGAGAGCATCAGAGACTCAAACCAGGGAAGGGGTGAAGAGACCGGGGATTTGGCCAAGGGGTCTGGGATAAGAGAGTCAGGAGCCAAGGAGCTGCAGGTTGCTTGAGGGTGTTAGGAATTGGGAATCCAGAGACAGCAGAGCGTGAGGAAGCCAGCAGGGCCAGGGGTTAGGCTCACACTCTCCCTCAGCACTTGAAGGAGCCACCAGAGGCACTGCACACATGGGTGAGGCAGACAGGTGATGGGTGGGGCAGGCGGCAGGGGAGGGTTAGGGGCTGAGTTTCCAATTAGGGTGAAGGGACCAGATTAGCCACTGTGGAACTGAAAGTCCCAGGTGAGAAGAGATCACAACTAGTCCTGGAGTGAGAATGGTGACTGTGGCTATGGTGAGAGCCCATGCTGGGTGTGCCAGCGTGCAGTGAGGCGGACAGATGCAGGCCAGGTCACTGAGGATGTTGCAGTGGGACAGTTTAACTGGTGTGAAGAGCAAAGAATTGAGGGATGGGATTCAGACGAAGACAACCTTAGGGTTTTGGCCAGGCAGCTGGAAGAATGAGGATGTGAGCACGTCACAGAGGAAAGCCGGGAAGAAGATCAGGGCAGAGGCAAGGTGAGGGAGTTGGCTTTAGGTAATGACCTTTGAGGTGTTGGTTGGGTGTCATATAGGGAATATCCGGTAGGCAGTTGGAACTTTAAGACTGGGGTTCTTGCAGGAGGCATGGGCTTAAGATGGGGATTGGAGTCACCTGAGGAGAGGTGATGGTTAAACTCTGGGAGTAGAAGAAGACACCCAACTAGGGAGTAGATGGAGTAGATGAAAGACTGAAGAGGGAATTGTGTTTAGAGAAAGGATGTGAAACCAAGGACTACACATGGGGACGTTGGGTGACGTGGAACAGTAGAAGGGGAGAGGGAGAGAAAGGAGAGTTCACAGAAGCAGAGGGAAAAGCGAGTGGTGGAGCAAGAGGAGAAAGTGTGAGATCTTCCCAGAGGTCCAGAAAGGTGGACTCCCAGGAAGGTCAGTGGATGTGCTGACTAAGATGTTTCCAAAGGCTTTGGAGGTTGCTGGGTGAGTAGTTCATGGCAGTTAGAGTATACGGCAAAGAATCGGGAGCCTGCAGAGGTATAGCACTGAGTGAAAAGATGTGGCCATGGGAGGAAGGAAGGGAGGGGAGTGTTCCCAGAGGATTCTACAGGGTCAAAGTTTTTTCAAGGTGGAAGACCAGACAGGACAGGTGTTCAGAGGTAGGAGACTCAAGAAGGAGAGGATGGGCAGGCAAGACAGTGCAGCCATAAGGGCTGGAGGATGGATGTGGAGGTAAGAGGGGTGTGCTTTCTGAGGAATAATGGCGGTGGCGTGGGGTACAGTCCTCATCGCGGAGCAGAGGTGCCCTCAGAAATGAAAGCACACAAGCCCACCAGGTTTCAGCAGGCAGGGGGCTAGTGGGTGAGTTTGCCTGTTCTTCCCTGTCATTTCCTTTTCTCTCTTTCACAATCTCTTCCTTTTCTTTCTCTCCTTTCCTTAAATGTCTCTTCTCCAAATAGTTAGTTTTTTTTAAAATGGTCATTGTTAGAGATAAGGGCATTATTTAAGGTAGAAGTATCTTTAAAATTAACCTTTGCATTGATTTATTCAACTACTACCTTATTGTTAAAAACAAGCATGTCAAAGCCTTTGCATTTTTCTCTCAAAGACAACAGAAACCCTAAACTACAGAATTATGTTGCCTTTTCTCTGCATGTAGCTCTTGGTTGTTTTCTTCGTTTTGCGTGGTGCCTGGTAATTTTATAAAACATTCCCTTATTCATGCCGAAATGGTCATTAATAGGGTTGGTGAAATTGCAAATCTCCCCATTTCTGCACTCCTAAATTTGCAGGCATACACAAGTTATCTAAATACAGCGTGGTATTTTAAAATACGCTTTTGTACATTCTGGACCTAAAGTGTTGGGTGACCCTCTCTCTGGATGTGGCATTTGGGGTGCATGAAGGGATCTGCAGTGGGCTCAGAGGGGGTCTGAGGGCTGTGGAGAAGCTGGTGGAGGATGTGCTGTCCATGTCACTAAAGCATGTTGGCCCACGGTGGGCCGTCACCTAGTGACTTGTGACGGAAGATAAGTATGAGCCAGGAGGCCTTCTCCTGACCCACCCAGAGGGCCTTGGCTGCATCCACTGGAAGGCAAAAAATTAGGAAGGCCCACCTGCCCATACAGTCTCCTCCCAGAGAAAGAGCACCACCCTCCACCAGCACCGAAGACCTTTTCCATCCAGCCCCCGTGACTTCCAGAGATCCTGATCTAAACTAGGAAAAGAAATTGACCTCTCTCTTTTTCCTCTTGACTTGAAACATATGAGTCAAAATAAATCATCTACATTATTATTTTTTCTTCTTTTTTTTCTTTTTTGGACATTTACAGAGCTCAGCCATCAGCCCCACTCCGGAAATTTCTTCAGAGACTCCTGGATAGTAAGTTGCTATTTTATTTTGTTTACATTGCTTACTATGTTAAATGTCAGAAATGGGAAGAGAGAAGCTTATGTTTTGGACCCAAAGTGTGTTTTGTTTGTATCAGCCTAATGGCTCTGAATGATGTACAGTTTGGTGATAAGAAGCGATCTAATAGTAGTCTTCAAATTATTTTTCTTCTGTTCTCTCCTCTTCCAAATTAATTTTGTGATGATTTGTATTACCTTTCATGAACTTTCCCCATTTCAGCATCTTTACCTTTAGAATGGGAGTTTATTTGTCTAAGTTTAGAATCAAAGTTCTTGCCTGGCATGGTGGCTCATGCCTGTAATCTCAGCACTTTGGGAGGTTAAGGCAGGAGGATCACTTGAGCCCAGGAGTTCAAGACCAGTCTGGGCAACATAGACGCTGTCTGTACCAAAAAAAAAAAAAAAAAAAAAAAAAAAAGCTGGGTATGGTGGTATGCACCTGTAGTTCCAGCTACTTAGGAGGCTGAGGCAGGAGGATCATTGAGGCTGCAGTGAGCTGAGATCATACCACTGCACTCCAGTCTCAGTGAAAGAGCTAGACTGTGTCCCAAAAAAGAAAGAAAAAAAATCTCATTTGCTGGTTCTTGTGGGGAGGTGAGTGACTGAGACAGGCCACATCTGGTGTAAAGACTGAGGGAGGGGGCCAGGTGCAGTGGCTCACTCCTGTAATCCCAGCATTTTGGGAGGCCGAGGCAAGTGGATCACCTGAGGTCGGGAGTTTGAGACCAGCCTGGCCAACATGGTGAAACCCTGTCTCTACTAAAAATACCAAAATTAGCCAGGCATGGTCCCAGCTACTCAGGAGGCTGAGGCAGGAGAATCACTTGAACCTGGGAGGCGGAAGTTGCAGTGAGCCAAGATTGCGCCACTGCACCCCAGCCTGGGTGACAGAGTGAGATTCCATCTAAAAAAAAAAAAAAAAAAGACCAGGGGAGGGAGGGGCCAAGAGGGGGCCGAGAGGGGGCTAATTTACCTGATTCTCACATAGACGGGCATCTGTTTTCCTCTGTCAGTTCTTAGGACTCTGTCTGGATGATGCATGCGTACCCCGCTCCTTCGTGGGGTGCCACCAGCCTCTTCCCCCTGCCAAACCATCCTGAATCCTATAGTAGGAAGAGAATCCTGTAGCCTTTCTCAGCATTTTGCTATGAAGCTGTTATCCCAGCTGAAAATGTTCAGTGCTACCCTCACCTCCTGTTCTACACGTGTTAAATAGCAAACATTTTAGCTTGTATAGATAAGCCCTCGTGGAGCCTTCCTGTACCCCGGCTCACGTTAGTACCTCTATGGCCCTTACTTCTGTTGCTGTATACCTGAGTTATACTCTTGTATTTTTATAATTGCTAGTGTATTATAAACTCCTCAAGGGCAAGGCCCCAGTCTTCACAGTGCCTGGTACACCCAATGAATTTAGGAAAGGAGCTTGTTCTGGTAGGAGCTTTTCTTATTTTGTCACCATCACATCTGTGTCTTGTTCTTTGAAATATGACAGTGAGGGGAAGACACCCCTATTACCTATTCTAGTAGGGTTGGATAAATCCACAATGAGCAGAGTTGCTGAGTGTATAAGTTTTTTTTGACAGATACTGTGTGGTCTCTGGGACATATCCTACCTACATTGCTGGAGAACGTGCTTTACAGGAAGAGTTTCATTTGAAAGTCAGCAGGGATTTGGGTATTTTGGTGGAAAAATGGAAAAACTTTCATCTTTTTAGGGTAGTGATCAAAAGCTCTAGCTAGATCCATCATGTTAATTTTTCTTCTATAAATATGTATGTTTCATGATTAATATACCCAGGAGCGTAAGAAGAAATTAAGAAGACATATTAAGATAGCAGCTAGAGAAGCACTGCCTTAGGGGACAGTTCCCGCCTTGAAGAAGGACTGGTGTAAAATCTCTTGCATTCACTGTGGGGTTGGTGACTAAGTCACCAATATGACAGGTGTCAGGGCTCATGTGTAGCATTGGGACCCATGTCCCCCACTCTGGCTCTGCAGCTTGCTCCCTTTTAAAGAGCTTCCAATTGAGCCGGGCCTTCAGCTCTAAAAATGACAATAAGTCACAGGTCCTCTAGGTCCTAGAGATGTGCCTTCAGAGGTGAAGCCCACCAGATGACCCTAGGCTACCTGCAGATAAAGGATGTCCTCAAGGCCACAGCTCCAAGCAAGCTCTCCTTGGTCCCTCCAGGCCACCTCTTTATTCTCAGCTTGTCACTTTGGCAGTCCCGACTGCCTGTATTAACCCTGCTGCCTGCTCCCCTCCTTTACCTCCTCACCTCCATCCCCCGAAACTGCACAAGACAGAAGGGGCTTCATGGGACAGCTAGCTGAGTGAATTCCCTAGCTCTACTGGATCCAAGGCACTAAGCTCTGCATTCTAATAGGAATGTAGATATAGTCCCTTAATAGTTTTGGGGCAAAACACACACACACACACACACATACAAATAAGGTTAGTAAATGAAAAGGCAAAGTGGCAAATGCTACCACAGGCAGTCGGGAGAAAGGAGCACAGGCGTTGAATAACACCATTTTAACAATTTATCAGGCATTTACTATGTGCCAGGTCCTGTGCTTGGTATTTTATCTACCTTACCTCATTTAATCCTCTGAACATTCCAAGATGAGGCATTATTTTTAATCCCCATTTTATAGATGAGGAAATAGGCACATCAAAGCAGTGTAATGCCGTAGTTCCTCAGCAGGTTCAGGGCAGAGCCATATCCAGGTTAGGAACAGTGAGGCTCTAGACCAAGGCACTGGGGTTGGCAGTAAACTCTCCTGTGCTCCATACTGATTCAAAATTTGGTAATAAGTTAGCAGAAGATATACTAAGGTTTGATGTTTCTGAGCTATTAAAAAACAATTTAGACCTGGCATGGTGGCTCACACTTGTAATCCCAACACTTTGGGAGGCCAGGGTGGGGGGATCACTTGAGGCCAAGAGTTCACGACCAGTCTGGGCAACATGGCAAAACTTCCTCTTTACAAAAAGTACTTTAAAAATTAGCTGGGCTTGGTGGCGCATGCCTGTAGTCCCAGCTACTCGGGAGGCCGAGCTGGAGGACTGCTTGCCCGGGAAGCGGAGGTTGCAGTGAGCCAAGATCACACCACTGCACTCCAGTCTGAGTGACAGAGTGAGACTCTGTCTCAAGAAGAAACAAAAAACAACCTTAACCCCTGCCAACAATTTAAGAAACTATTTATGACATTGAGTTAGCAGGATTGGAGGGTACTAATGTAAGCTGATTAAAAGAGCAAATTGTTTTCAGACACTCTGAATGTGCATGAAGACATTCAATCTGTTAATTTACCAAGAATTCTTATTTATATCACTGAAAATAGGTCTTCAAAGTCTCTGTTTTTCAGCTCTCATGAAATACTTGGCAAGAATAAATGAGTTTTTTCCTCCTGCTATTCTCCCATTTGGGAATTTTTCAGTAATCGGGCTTGGTTTTCCCCCAGTTTATCCAAATGAGTAAGATTTTCTTATATCTGAAATTGGTGAGGAACCAGCCTAAGTGGGGTGCCTGACACAAAGGAAAGCTTACAGTAAATGTTTGCTCAATGAATGGATGGATCTGTAAATCTTAATTAACCGAAATCCAACTTGGTTAGCACTGAGGCAGGCAGCTTGTAAGTTGAACGTAGCCGTTTTCACTGGTTGGACAGGAATGATGGGTAGGCAGAAACATTGGCAGGACTTGACCTTAACCCAAAGAATGAAGAAGGAGTAGTCACAGGTGGCCCAGGTTCACCGTTTTGTGGCAACTGGAGAAGCGATGGCGTTGTTTTAAGTCCACTTTAATATCTTGGACAGACTTCAGTTGAGAATTTTATTAATTAACCCTGATTACATATGATAATATTAAAAGAACTGGGAATGGAGAGGAATTCACCCATAGTCCCAGTATCCTAATACAACTACAAGTCCTTGCCTTCTATATATATATTTTTTATAGTTAACATCACAGTGTGTGTCCAGTTTTGTACTTTATTTTCCTAGTATTTCAGATATATAAATCAGTAGTCTTAACTACTCATTATTTTCATTTCAATGTATTTCAGCATTAACTTCTTTGCCTAACCAAAGAGCTTTACTCTATTTGACCAGCAGGTGGCACTCAAGAACAAGCAGTTCTTCTCTACATGGTGAGGGTAGACTAGCAAACACTTTTTCCCTTTAATCTGATTTGAGAACAAAACACAGATAATAACCTGAAGAACTGTGTGAAACAGCAGAGGTCCTCCTGCTCTTTACAAATGTGTCAGAAATCTGTATCCATGTAGGCATTTAATTTTATAGAATCATTTATTCTATTAATATTTATTGAACAACCACGCAAGGCACCAGACATGCAAAGATTAAGCAGATAAACTTCCTGCCCTCAAGGGGTTCCAGGTGCAATAGGGGAGACAGATTTGTAAATAACCAGAGTCCAGTGGGGTAAATGCAATGATGGGGCCCAGGAGGGAGGAGTGAGCACCTATTGTTCTGTGGAGGGAGAAAGGTTAAACTTTAGAGAGAAGCTGCAAATAAAATGTGAATAACAATATCATCATAAATATAATGTTTTTCATGCAGTACAAAAGACTATAAAATGAAACTTCTACAGGATTATCTAGACTCCCTCCTGCAAAGCCACCGTTAACAACAGTTAGGTTTTTTTTTCTTCTTCTTGAAATAAGTAAATAATTTTGAATGGTGAATATAAGCTTTGTGAGGCTGGAACTTTGTGTCTGTTCTGTTGCCTGTTTATGCTCAGTAAATATTTGTTGACCAAATAAATGAGCAGTAGAATGACATGATGAGATCTTTTCTAGACAGAGATGACTGGAGGGCGTCAGGGCTGGAGACTCGGGGAGCAATGTGTGTTTGTTGTACAGTTGTAGGTGAGCGATGATAAGGCGGGAGGTGGAGGGCAAAGGGATTAATGTGAGCTGGGTCCAGGACAGGGAAGAAGCAGGACTTGATAACTGATTAGGCTTAAGGAGCAAGGAGAGGGAGAAGGGGACCGATTTCCTGAGCTTTCTGGGTTAGGCGATGGATGATGGTTTGGGACATGTTGAGTTTAAGATACCTGAGAAACATTCAGATGGATGTCTAGAAGGCAGTTGAATGTATGTGTCTAGAGCTCAAAAGAAGTGTCTGTGTACATAACAGATTTGCAGGTGGATTTTTGTACAATCTCCCCATGCCTATTAGTTTTGCAAGTGAAAGAAATTGAGGCCAAGAGAAACAGACTGCAAGTTTTTCAACAAGAATGGGTTTGCCTCCACTGATCCACATTCCTTGCTGGAGTCAAGTGGGAATCCCAGTCTCCAGGACTCTGTCCACTGCCTCCAGAGCCTGCCCATTAGCACAATTGGAAATAGTTGGCCCTAGGATAATTGCTCTGTTCTCTCACTTTATTCTTCCAGCAAGCGTGTTTTTGTTGAATCCCCTTGAAACTCAGCAGCCAGCTCTGCATCTTAGCCAGAGGCTGAATTCTCTGTGCTAGCTCTTGCTTGCTCTTCCTGAACCAAAATCTGGCTTAATCAAGGCTGCTCAGAGCTGAGCTTCTGAACTTAACTTGTTTGGTTAAGTACTCAGCTGCTATTCCTGATTGGGCCTTTCTCAACCAGCTGAGGGGATAAGGCGGCTTCTCTCATCCTCTCTGGTACCCTTGAACAGAGCAAGTACTCTGTGACCTTGGGCAAATGACTTTGACACTCTAGTCTTCAGTTTCCCCTTTTGTACGGCGAAACAAATGGTCTCTCTTCAACATTAGAAGAGCTGATGGATATGATACACTTAAAAACATTGTTGTGGCCGGGCACAGTGGCTCACACCTGTAATCCCAGCACTTTGGGAGGCCAAGGTGGGCAGATCATGAGGTCAGGAG